TCCTCCAACAAATGGAGTACGTGACTTGAAATCCCTGTTGTTATCATGTATTTTTCTCTTAGCAACGCATTTTCAATACATTTAGCCAGAAAGACGTACTTTTTACTGTGTTCGGGCTTTTGGAATCTTCAAAATTTAACTTTTCAGTATTGTTGTTTTGCTTACAAAATTAAATCTCGTCGTCGTCTGCTGAAAACTATGGCCATTTTCTTGAATTTTGTGGTTAAAACAGCTCCAATCTGATTGATTCTTGCTGGTTTCTTTTGAGTCTTCAGCGAATCAGAAACCATTTGTAATTTGCACTCGTGTTACAAATTTGCATTCGTTTTACAGAAGAACTGCACTCCTTTCTCAGCCAATCAGAATTGAGTAATTTTTTCGTGTATATTATTAGTCTTGAAAAATTGTGAAATACTTCATTCTGTCCGAGGTCTGTATGATAAAAAGTACTGTTTCACCTCAGATGTGATGTATAAAAGGTATAAAAAGTTGGTTTACACACCCCCAGATTTGTAGGCAAGATTTTGTAAAGTAAACTTGTGGAAAGGAAAAAATTCGGCCTGATTTGTTTTCCATGCTGTGATCAAAAGCCATTATGGCTCTTGAATGTGATGGAAGATGATTGCTATTTTTGGGTGTACATATAAGGCTATCAACTCGATGAATAGATAATTCTTTAAATCTTTTTATAAAGTTATCTAATCAGTTAGAGAAATTGGATAAAGGATTACCGCATTGTGAAAGAAATGATATGTGATCACTTTCAATACGTACAAATTGATGACAAGAAATCGTTACTGGAACGGGGTTCCCTAGGGGCCAATTTTAGGCCCGTTGTTGTTTAACATATATACTGCCGATTTGTGGGATAACCTCAGTGACTCCATTTCATGTTATCAATACGCTGATGACACTTCGCTTTACAAACAATGCTCTGTTAAAGATCTCGCACAAAATGTTGCTGATTTTAATAACCCTCTCAGCCATATGGCTTCGTGGTCTTTCAAGTCCAATCTCGCCCTAAATTCAGTGAAAACTAAGTCGATGCTGTTCGCAACAAGCCAAATGGCTAGCTTTCATGTTCTCAAAGATGAAACCCTCAACTTAGAAATTTCGAATCGTCGACTAAAAAGATTCAGTGAAACAAGGCTACTGGGAGTGAAGTTCAAGAGAACTTAAAATGGAATTATCATGTCGAGGACATCGCTAATGCTTCTTATGGAGCCTTACGTACATTGCGAAAATTAAAACATTTTACAAACTTCCACCTACGTAAGAGACTTGCAGAGTCGCTTGTATTATCATGGCACGACTATTGTGACTCGGTCTATTCACCTTTGCCAGGAAACTTGCTAAAACGTCTTCAAAAAAATTGAATTTGCTGCCGCACGTTTTGCTTATGGCAGATACGTAAATGATATTGGAGACATTTTAAAGCTCAACTGGCTCCCAGTTGAAGAGAAAAGGGACTTTAATTTGCTTAAGTTGACTTTTAAAGCACTTCTCGCTAAGCAGTGGCCTTCATATTCAAACTTACGGAGAGTCTCTATATGTTTGCGCTTTTCGGGCTCTTAAGATTACAAGTTCCTCTGCAAAAAAGGAACCTTCCAGGACACTGCGGCTGCCCTTTTTAATAACCTTCCAGACAATCTTAAGAAGTGTGACAATTTTAATTTATAGTAGTTCGCGCATTTTTAAATTCTTAAAGAACCGGGCACAGGCACCACTCCTTTAAGGATTGTCACTCGTTAGGGTAGAAACCCTACCAAGAAAGAATTCAATCCCTGATATTTAGCAAACTGTGCTTCGGATGCTTATGCAATGAACATGTCTCAAGGTTTTTCCCAAGGAGGAAACTTTCAAGGTTGCGAACAGCAACAACATGAAGAATCCTGCAATTTTACAAACAAGCTCTCGAGAGAGGCCAGCAGCCTTTATTGGTCAATGCTCAAAATCTCAGTTACAGTAATACTAGTAATAAAAATAACTGGCATTAAGAAAGTATACTGACCTTGGCAAGCACTCTTAATCCCTGGTGTCCCATGCCAATATAAGGATACAGAAATTTCTCGTTATGGGTGTAATCCACGGATATCTCGTTCCGTGTGACCTGTCGTCCGTTTAAAGAAAACACAACTGGAACTTTCCCATCTTTTGCCAAGTCAAACCTAACTGTGCAACCAATCAAATCCCCTCTGTGGGCCATGGCGTCTACAAAGATATTTTGAAAGATTTATATCGACTGGCCAGTGGTGAGGGGAAACAATAACTGATACACGTTTTACACATTTTATGAATATTTGCTAAACCACTGACTACTATTTTCATTACCAAAAGCAGATGTTTCGCTGTCACTTACGGACCGATAAATTGGACATCTTCATGCTCGAAGTTGGCTGACTATGGATGGATTGATTTTGTCGTTTTGCAAATATTTGTACGGGCAAAATTACCAGCAATAAAACGAAAGACAAAAAACAGGTTTTTCACATGGCTTAAGCAAAACAAAATCCTTAGCAGGAACCTGTCATTATTGAAAAACTCTTTTCCACGGTCCATGAAGTTTTTTAAGGTAGTCTTCGATTAAGAATCATGGAACATAAATATACTGGAAAATGAATGTTAATTCAAAACCAATTATTGGACGCAACTATTTTCATTGAAACTTTGTCTCCCACAAAAGGAGTTACTAGATAACGAGTTGAAAGGCCTAGGCCTTGTCTATGAATTTTTGCTTATTATTATCTCACCTTCATACTCTTTTCCCCTAGTTGGATTTTCTGCGTCAAATATTCTTCCATCATCAATGTGATATCCCACGGTTCCATTGAACCAACCCGGCATGGCATGATTTCCATAATCGTTTCCAACAACACCGACCCCTAAAAGACGTCTTTCCCCTGTTTCTTGAACGAGGACCTAATTAAAGGAAAAGATGTAAATGTAATTGCACTGAGCCCAAACTATTAAACCCTTAAATTATGAAACTGAAGAGATGTTATCAAGGTTATCAAATTTTGTGTGTTTAACTAAACATGCTGATAAGCCTATGAAGTAAATTAAGGATGTGTTCCATGGATCGTATTCCGGAATAAGAATACACAAAATTTATTACAAATATCTAGCACTGTAATGTTTGGACCACTTTTAAAAACGCTACATACGATATCTAGATATCGCAATGCAATGAATGCCGAAGCAAATGATTTTGGTTTTTTTTCCTTTCCTACAGAATACGATAAATCAAATACGCCCTATAAAAATGAGGAATTCATCAGTATTATCAATACTTGGTGGATCTCACTCTTATAACAGTCTGAAAACTTAAATCTAAAGTAAAATTTGACATGTTACATTAGAAGCAAATTAAAAGCTCAAGTAGAGTCAGGAGATATGCCAGAAATGCACGCACTGCTGACGAAAATGGCAGAAATGGCGAACAACAGCCAAGTTGTTAACAAAATATGAAATAAGATGCCAAAGGGTCCCTTTTGAAAGCGTCGAATTTGGTGAGAATGGCGTATTTGGCGAAAATGGCAGAATTGGCGAATAATCGCCTAATTGTTAAATAAGATGGAAAACGTACCCTTTTAAAATTGGCGAAAATGGCGTATTTGACGAACATGGCAGAAATGGCGAACAACCGCCAAACTTTTAACAAAATCTCAAATGACATGGCAAATGGTCCTTTTTGAAAGCGACGATTTTGACGTATCTGGCAAAAACTTCCAAATGCATGGATTTATTAACATACAGATTGTTGATTTGTATGACTCGGCAAAAGGTTCCCTTTGAGAATTAGTGAACCTATCTGAAATATGTCAAAGAGGTGGATATCATGCCCATAAGATAGTGGAAATGTTGCCAACGTATTGATAATGACAAAGCTGGTGTAACTAAAGTGTCATTATTCTATTTATAATGCTAATACCTTTAACTGATAATCTCTGTGATTTGAAATTCGTCTCAAACAAGGTTGCTTGTTCGGACATTACCACCTATAAATAATTTCTTCCACAATTCAAATTGGTGGAATGGTTCACGAGTTGTATTATCAGTGAATGGTACTTGTCGCAATGTTTATCGAAATTTACTTACCAAAAATTTCAAGATAGGTATCCTTAATTTCCCAGTCTTGCAGTCGCTGTTTGAATTATGTTTAGAAGATGAATACTTATTAATAGCTAGTTCATCTTTATAAATTCCTTGAGGAATCCATTTTGCTTCAAGTCCACACACGTAGATAATTGGATGGTCGTTATTGCCTTGTGGATTCGTTCTCTTTGTTAAAATGGCGTTCAATCTTACATAAACGAGCTAGTTCATTGCTGTTTCACAGAATGTGTAATGTACGTGTGGTAAGGTGCACGCAGTTGTTATCGGCAGCCATGTTGAAATAGCCCATTTTCCCCCCAGGGTCTCCGAGGTAATAGAAAGGGCCTGGTGAACGAGATGCGACGAACAGTGGCAGGTGAAGAAAAATAGAGGATTTTTTGGAAATAATGTTACGTCTTTCTGTCCTTATTGGATATTTCAAAGATATTTTAAGAACGAGACCAACATGGTTGATAAAAAGATGCAGAATGTTTTACAAATGCTTAATTGGTGTTATTATTTCAATTTCAGTGTGAATGGCATAATATTTGATTCAATGTTTATGTTTTAATAAGTTCGATGAAGTATTGGATACTAGTGACATTTCGTTTAGGTTTACGTAAAATGAGCGAATTCACGCATTTTAAAATTGCGCAAGCAAGCTGATGAACATTTCTGCCTCACAATTTAATGGAACACAATGTAAATAGAATTGTCAACAATTAGGATCGTTTAGGTCACATTTAACCTCAAAAGTCAGAGGTGCACTGTAAGGAATTCTTATCATTTCAAGGACTTGGAGATTGTCTCCTCGAGTTATTTTTGGACTAGCTGTGAGAGTGAGATTGCTTTCGATGGCTTGAACGAACAAATCTCTCCTTTTTGTACGATTTTGAAAGGAATAACCCATACAAGAGCAATTGATGCTAGTGTGATATTTCAAGGCTTCACATTATTTTTGGTAAGTCAAGCGACTTCGAAAGTAATAATAAAAAGTGTTTACTTAATGAGGGGGATATTGGGGGGGTACCCAATACCGCAATACCATAAGAAAAAATGGCAAATACCGGAACACCGCTTCCAAAATCGTCCAAATACCAATACCGCATATTTTAATCACATTTATAATCGGTTCCGCATACTTATGGTTGCTTCCATCAGCGCGTTTAATTATCTCAGGCATTTATTCACCAGATGTCCAAAGTTTTTTGGGTTTTTTTAACATTTTGGTAGTTTGCAAATTTTTCGCAAACTTTCACTAAAAAGCAAACTACATTCGTTCAACCTTTTGGTAGGTCGACCCAACAGCTAATTAACTCCAATAAAAACAACTCTTAAAAGCGCGAAAACAAAAACGAAATACAAACCAACCAAAACCCGTTTCCACGCATTTCTAGTGCGAGTTTTGATAAGTGTAGTCTGCAGTGCAGGCGTATTTTGGGCGGGCGAAAGCTGCTTGTTTATGTTCGTACTGTTGTAACCGCAATCTTTGTTATGACGGTGGAAGGAAGGATCTTATGAAAATAAGAAACCGTCTCCATCGTCGTTTCCCCTTAACGCGCAATGAATTTGACTGGGCAGAATATAAAATCTCCCGCAAAAGTGTGAAAAAAGCTCTCATTGAAGCTGAAAAACATCATACATATCAAGAAGTTCAGAATAATATGAATAACTCGAGATCCCTTTGGAAAGTGATCAACAACATCGTTCCATCGAAAACACAGGAGAAACTCGTCTATTCTAAAGACTTCAAGTCTGTTGCAAATGAATTTAATTCAAATTTTTCATCCGTAGGAAGCCGCACGGCTGAGGCTGTTGCAAAGCTGGCATTAGAAAATGATATCATCTGTTCAAACTCATCCATGCCAGATCTTGTATCATCTTCTGATGATTGCTTCAAGTTCACTCCAGTGAGCATCGAAGATGTAAGGCGTGTCATCTTGTCTTTACCATTGAACAGAGCTCCAGGACCTGACAAAACCAAAGCTAGAGTATTCAAGGACGCCCTACAAGTAATACTCGGGCCTATTACTGAGATAATCAACTGCTCACTCGGTACTTCTACCTTTCCATCAGACTGGAAGATCGCTGAGGTCATCCCACTCCTAAAAGAGGGAGATCACGAAAAGCCTTCGAACAATCGGCCATTGTCACTACTTAATGTTGCGTCTAAAGTTTGCGAGAACATTGTTCTAGAACAATTTTTCACCTACCTGATGTCACGCAACCGCTTGTCATCCCACCAAAGCGGCAGCGCAACAAGTCACTCCATTCAACCGAGACCTTGAAGCGCATTAGTCTTACTCGACCTCTCAAAGGCTTTTGACAGTATTTGCCATCAGAAGTTACTCCAGAAGCTCTCCGCTGTAGGTGCCTCACCCGCCGTAGTTCAGTGGTTCCGCAGCTACCTTTCAGACCGGACCCAATCAGTGCGTATCGATTCTGTGCTATCAGATCCATTACCAATCACACACGGCGTCCTCCAGGGAGCGATTCTTTCACCGCTCCTCTTCTGTATTTATCTAAACGATCTGCCAGGCGCTCCTCAATTCTGCCAGCTCGAGTCATACGTCGATGACTCTAAAGTTTTGCTATCTTTTCCCGTAGCCGATGTCATTGACGCTAAGTTCAAGCTCGAAGATGATTTGCGCAATGTTGCCACCTGGTGTTGCATAAATGATTTGTTAATAAACCCTGATAAAAGGAAGTTCATGTTGATCGGCACCAAGCAAATGATAAGTAAGCATCGTTTAATTTCACTATTTCGTTTATTGGAAAGACTCTTACGGCTGTCGAATCAGCAAGAGATCTAGGAGTATACACAGATTTACACCTGACCTATGATACTCAAATCTCCCACTTAGTCTCTTCTTGCTTGACTAAACTGGTTCAGATCAACCGCGTGAAATATTGTTTCGATAGAAAGACTTTGGTTTTAATTATTACATCTCTTGTCTTTAGCAAAATGCTCTACTGTTCGACCGTGTCGTCTAATACCTCATCTAAGAACATTCAAAAGCTGCAACTTATTCAGAATTTTGCCTGCAAAATCATCTGCGGCGCTCGGAAATATGACCACGTGACGCCATTACTTGACGAACTCAACTGGCTTCCAGTTAGCAAGATGCTCAAATTCAGAGACGCTGTTATGGGTTATAAGTGTGCCAACAATTTAGTTCCTGAATACCTATGTGCTAAGTTTAAAACACGATCTTCTGTACATAATCGCACAACCCGTAATAATGAGAAGTTCGAAATCCATTATTCAGGTCAGCCACCGGCCAACGGACCTTCGCCTATAGAGCAGTATCCCTGCTGAACACGTTAGACGAAGACCTTAGAAACGCTACAACTGTAAAGGCCTTCAAGAAAGCCCTGAAACTTGTAATGAATGAATGATTGAATGACAGTTAGCATTTAACAATATTAGCTTGTTAGATATAGTTTGCATTTATATTTGTAAATAGGTACTGAAAAACCTTTTTTTGGGAGTATTTATTAAAGTTTTATTTATTTATTTTATTATTGATTAGGGAGAGTAAAAATAGTAACCCTAAGGGTAGGTGCTAGGGCGAAAGAAGGAAAGAGGGGAGGACCATTTTCTCCCCTCTTTTCGAGTTTCAACATGCGCTTTCGCGAGCAAAACATTGGCGCCCGAAGAAAACGCCTGCACTGCAGGCTATGATAAGTGAGTCTAGTCTAGCACGTCAGTCTCTCGGGGGTCAAGTATATCTACTGTCCTACACGTCGCGCCGGTCAGAGGCAAGCTTACCAAATTTTTTCTTTTAACCGCCAAGGCGTTTTTCAGTTCTCGAAACCCGACAGTTAAACTTATTCTTCTTGTGATAATGTTCGCCTCCTTCGCCCTCTTCATAAAAAAATGCCACACAGTCAATGATGACCACGCCGTCTTCAACCTCAGCAACCTCAGCCAATGTGAGAAAACGTGTAAGACCGCGAATTACCGGCACAGGAACACAGATCGAAAAGCCTGGTAAGGTAACTTGAGACGACTCATTGTCATTGGATGCAACGACAATCACATTGTATATTATCGATCCTCGACCATTAAGGGACGGACCATTAGAGCACTTATGGGGGGGGGGGAGGGAGGGGCGCAAGGGAAAATTAAATGAAAAAAATTCATGCACGCCAATTAAACCTAAAAAAGATTCATGCCATGGGCTAAAAAAATTAATACAAGGAATTTAATAACGAAAGAAATTCCTGCGGCTCGAAAATTCCCCACCTCCCCCCATAACTTTTCTAATGGTCCGTCCCTAACTGTCATAATCATAATCATTTACCATTATGCCTCAAGACTTCTAAATATCAACTTTTATTGACCTTTATGTCCTTATACTGTGTTTTGTTTTGCGTATTGTATCGAAAGGGAAGCGCAAATAAACGTAACCTGAGTATCAGTCGTTTCTGATACTCAGGCTAAAATAAACGATACCGTAATACCGTGAACAATCTTATTTCACCGAATACTGTCAGCCAAAATGATGAAAAACCGCATACCGCAGAGCTAGATGATACCACACTTCACTTTTAAATCAAAATTACCGAAATGGCGCATGAAAAAAAGCCCAATACCGCAATACCGTAAACCCCCATGTCCCCCTCCTTAATCTTTGGAGTACATGGCACAAATACATAAGCTTAACTGAAACGACTTCCATATATTCATTGTTGTCTGATATATTTGATTCAGTTGTATTTGATAAATGTAGCTTCACAGTTAATTAAAGGCAATGCTGAGTATGTATAGTAAGAGTATTTTCCATTTCAAAGGGACCTTTTGTACATAAATTCCCCAGCATATTTTTTACCTGTTGGCATTTCTGTCTTGTCAGCCATTTTTGTGAAAATCGACACTCTTAGAGGCCTGTTTAGTTACCTGATTTACTAATCACCGGTTTCACTGCATCTTTGCCAAAATCGCCACTCTCCAAGGGGCCACTTTTGGCATCCAATTTGATTATTTGCCACATTATGAATCTCGCCAGCCCACTGGCGATTTTTCCCCATTTGTCCCATTCTTTTACAACATCGCCATTTTGCCAAAATCGCCACTCTCCAAGTCACATCCAATTATAATCGCCAGCTGTCTGGCGATTTTCACCATTATCGCCATTGCATGCATTTCTGGACGTGAGTGAGAGTCGGAGAATTCGTCCCCACGAGTCTTGACGACAACGTGATTCTGGTCTAATTTGTATTTACACCAGTAGGTCACGACAAGCAGTTTCAGGACGTTAAAAATCTTTATACTATGTACCTCAAAATGTGGAGAATCTGGAGAGAAAGGGAACTTGTATCTTGCGCCGTGATATTTACCCGGATCATATTTGCATGTGGAGCAAAATTCGCTTCCTTCACAAGTTAAAAGGCATCCCTGTATTCTGATTCCTTGACTTTGCCAGGCCTAAAAGCGGAGTACGGTTGCATTGTAAGTTTAACTTAGAGCAAGCCTTTTAATGTTTCTTTACAGTTATATGAAATATAATCGTAATAATCACAAACACAAGTAAAATAAGCAGTTGTGATTCTTAAATTGTTAAGACCAATTTCTAGTTGATAGGCCAAACACTTTTTAAGATGAAAACACGGTATAGGTATACCTTTGGACCAGTTGGAAAGGCATCATCATCAACTCCCTTCGCCGCAAATGTTCTGTATGCAATTTGATTTGCCATTTGCCGGTTTCGTTCAGTTTCCTGAAGAACATGATCCATTTTTCTTTCATCTAAAAACAATTCGAGAAAAATGGCACATATAACAGCAGTTCGATATAACTGATCATCGGTGTTAGCAGGAAAACGAGTTATCAATTCACCTTCTGTGCTTAAAAATTAAGAAAACATTTTTTACCTGTCAGAGGAAACGAGTAACCGTAACTTGAAAAGTAAGTAAGATGGAGTTTTTCCACAACATCGTCCAGGGACTTATTCTGTTCAGAAAATTGGGCAAAAAAAAAACGGTAAAGAAGTATGACATGCACATTAAGATACACGCACTGAGGAAGTGGGGAGAGTGGGTTCTTATGTTTTCGCAGCTTCCCCTTCACTGTATACTACGCTTCAGACATTGCTGATGTAAGACATATGCAGAACCAGCGCTAATCGTAAATGGACCTAACAAATGGCTTTGCTATCCGTAGCATAATGGCGAAGCACCCTTCCGGACAGGGTTGTTTAACGCTAGGCTAAGATAACTTAAGGTTAACGTGAAATTAAGATGTGAACGCTTAAAAAGAAAAAATTAATCCACTTTTATCAGTTTGCCTACAATTTGAAAAAATGGAAAAAATTATCTGAGAAAATGCTTTCGAAAAAAGAAAAAGAAACCCAAATTCTAAAGCTTAACCTTGGATTAGCGCTAATCAGTCTTCAAACGTGCCATGGAGTCCGCCATATTTCTTTTTCTGATCCACGATTGTGAAATGACCAGGCAATTATTATATATCTAACGCAACACCAGGCAAGTGCAAAAATTATTATTCCGTTACTTGTTGCAATAATGACAAAGTTACTTACATGATTATTGTCAGTCCAAGAACTATTTCCCGGATTCCTTTTGCAGCGCCTGCACTTGTGGCACAGCCATTTTATCCACAGAAAGAAATGTGATAACAGGTTAAGAGGTACCGGAATTGGATGGTAAGTGCTATAGGTCTGGATCGTTATGGCTTTCTTGAATGACCATTCTTTCAGGGAGTTATCCTCAAAAAAAAAATCATCGCATTCTTAACTGTTTAGTCAAACTTAAGCAATTCCCATGGCTTGTAAGTACGAAAACGACGGTAGCAAACGTCTAAAATTGACAACTATTTCATTATACTCTTGGATATAAGAAGTAATCAGACACAGTTCACACTGTATCATATTTATTATGCAGTTTGCTTATTTAGCTTGAAATTGGCCAAAGGGAAATTGCCTAAATCCGCCTCTAAGAAAACAAAAGAAGCCAACCGGCTAACAACAACTAATCTAAAGATCACCTAATGGTACAAGAATGTATTTAAGGCCCGGGTTGAACTTCGAATTTCACATGTTCCGAGCCATCTGCTAATCAAAAGGAAAAATGAAAGAGCTTTCTTAATGAGATATCCGTATTAAGAGGGTTTCCGTAAAGCGGGGATCGATTGTGACACTAAATGTTTCGAACCTAGGCATGGTACAATCCCCAAGTAAATTACGTAAATTACGGCAATTGAAATTTTGTATAAATTAAAGTAGTAGGTATATGTTCACGTGCACATGTTGCAACAGAACCAACGTAAGAAAATAGTATAAAACTACATGTATGCCTTGTTGTTACCTCAACTCGCTGATATGTGTTAGACAGTAGGGCTATCATCATGTTAACTAAAAGAATGACTCCCATGATAAGAAAAGCTCCAAAGAGAAAGTGGACGAGAGTTACTGATGTGCTGTCCACTGAGTCCAGAGGATCCAACTCCGCTACTCCCAACAGAGACCAGGTAAGATGCTTCATCATACTCCACCAACTGAATTGATAGAAAAAAAAAGAGATAACTTTTAGTTAATACAAAAATAACTTTGGTCATGAAAAAAGACTAATCGATTCTTGAATGGTCTTTTTATTTATTCCAACTAAGCAAACATAAAGCGTCCAAGGAGGCCTCACGACCCTGAAAACGATCCGGCTGCATGCTGGAAATTCTCATGTTCGCACTTTTATCGTAATGTCGCTTTATGTTATGTCAGTAAGGATTTTTGACGAAATACTCGGGTGTCCGTTATAGCGAGAGAAAAAACAAGTGAAAGGTCGCACTTGGGGATAGGAAAGTGTCCTCATTTCCGTAATAGCGAGAGTCCGTAATAGCCGGAGCTTGTTTCAGTCATTTCTTAATGCGTTTCGCCGGGAAGCAAGCTCTTGTCCGCATTAGCGGGGTGTCCGCAAGGCGAGAGTCGACTGTAATACAGGTTTGACATACCTAACTCAGAGTTTATCAAGAAAATGAAGATGGTGACAAAGCAAAATATCGATAACGCGACAACTTGACCTCAAATGAAGTGTTTCTTCCTCTTCTTGTGCCAAAAAAAAAGGGTGAGCGGTAAACGACCACTGAATGCCATGTACAGTGTATATATTGTGCTAATGTATTCTACATATTAATGAAGGGACTGTTTAATAAAGTTGAGAACAATAAACTAACAACCCCCCAGGTCTACGGAAAAGGTGATCGCGACTGCTTAATAGAGGTGACCACTTAATAAAGGTTAGTTTTACAGAAAATAAGTTGAATATTTTTCCGCTTCATTCAGGTTGGACTGTTCTACTGAACATAAAGTGGTCAGCACTGAGACTTTACAAGCTAACTTTGCTAACGTAATTGTTTACATTTTTTGTCATAAGCATACAACTTTTAAAATTGATAGATGCCGTGGACGTATATAAGAACTAAATTCGAAGGTTGCAAGAGCTGGTTAACTTCAGAAATTTGTGCAATTTTCAGCTCTTTGCGAGCAATATTGAAGGAAATAACAGCCATCAATACACTAAAATTGCTGGGTGGTAACAAAAGCTGATTTTCGATTTTTTAAAAAGAGAGAATTTCTCCGGAGCCATTCGGTATATCTGGATCAAATTTTCAGAGATAACTAACATTGCTATGCTGATACAATATTCGGAGATAGCATCTTAATAGCTTGATAAGAAATGATAATTATGCATATTTTAATGAGGCAAAAAATGTAAGCAAAGACGCGACACAGACACATAAGAAATTATCTTACCAAGCCAATCCACTGGACGATTCGCAGGCACTACAAATGTGGAAAAGGGCAAAACGAGTCGATAACTTTTAATCTTAAACATTTTTTTTCATCTTTTTAATGTCAGTAATCGTACATGGTTATCAAACATGTATCCTAAATAAATTTACTCGACGGCTCGTTGTTGAAACACGCGTCTTACTAGTAACAAACACAATTAGAAAGAATAAAAAACCAAAACCAAGCGGTTCGTCGATTAGACATTAATTGCCTTTCGTCAATTTTTTTTATTATGAAATTATTTATTCCAGTCTTGTAATCTTCATGTAAATGCATTTTTCAATTCAATTCAACAGTTTTTCAAACAGACAAAGCAGCGTTGTGTATAGCATATCATCTACCAACAATAACGCATCGCAAAACAGACAAAAATCAAAACGAAAGATTTTCCCAAAAGAAGCGCTCCTTTATTCTTGAGCCAAAGGCATCAACTGACTACCACGCTAAATTTGTATTCTACTTACGATTCTGTGGCATTTTTGTTAGAGATGAATGATCTTTCTGCCATGTACACTTTTGTAATGGCGATCGAAAACGCTAAAATAGCCGCAACAAACTGCCAGAATATCGTCGCTATGTCGCCGATGATGTGAAACAGAGCGATCTGAATGGCGCCAATCCCCTTGGCAGTTTCCATCACGTGACCAAAGGCTCGAAGAGTAAGGAACATGGTGTTAAGGCCATACAGATAACCAGCGATAACGAGAGATCGATTGTCCGTCACAGATTCTGACAAGGTCCACGTGACTACTCTGAGTACAAAGGTCACTAAGTAGTTCAGAAGGGTAATGAAATCCAGAATGTTCCATCGATCACTAAAACAAAATAAAAGACATGCTCAAAAAAGCGTTAAATCGAGCTTACTTAGAGATTAAATAAGAAATGGGGAGGTGATTAATTCTACACGAAACAGGATTTCTTCGGTAAAAGTTTTTCAAGTCCTACGTTATCGACGGTTGAGTATTCTTCAGGAATATTTACTTTTTATGTCACTTTGCGATTCTTATCCCCAGTTTCCCCGATATCCGCTAGGAACGACCGGGACCATGATTCTCCGCTTCCATTTTAGAGTCTCGTTGCTAAGCAAAATCGAATAATTATTTTGTTTACAGAATAGAAATTGAATCCTTTCTGCTACGTCAACTGCGCTTCTCTTTCCTTTCGTTTTGATCATGGGATGACCGATTGGCCGGATCTTATTAGCATACATATCTAGCACCCTCCCAGATTTTGCAGGAGAAAGTGACATCATCACTAACTTGACAAACAAGAGTAAGCCTGAGATCTACATTGGTAGAACGCACTCTGTAAACGTTGATTTTACTACTTAATAGAATATGCATTCACATACAAAAAATATATCAAACTGCCAAGCTGAAAAGGTCGCTTAATTGTTTAGAGTGATTCAGTTTGGGCAAGAACTATTGCAACTTTAATACCACGCCTTTTCCCTACAGTGTAAATCTTGATTTAATTATGGCACTTGCAGTGAAATATTACTACGGCGTTACATAAAAGCAATTTCCAACTAAGTGAGACTTCCATAAATGGAAATTAATTGGTAAAACGTGCCATTCGTGATCGCTTAGTGCCAAATGCAAACGAACGTGGCCGCAAACGACTGATTCTTCAGCAGAGTATGTATTTCAGCGCAAAACTTTAGGAGACACAACTGACGTTAGGTTTTGTAGTTTTAAGTCTTTCCAACAACTTGCAGTTTGAAAACACTGCGAAGCACCGACAAAGGGGCAAAACTAAAAGTGAAAGTTCAATAAGTTCGGACAGGTTAGACTAGAAATTTGGTTCCATTTGGACCCTTGTTTAAAGCAAATCTGATCTGATCTTATTATACTATGCTATAATTATTTTTATTTGTTATTTATTTATTGACTCATTTTTTATTCAATTGTATTTTACATTTCGCAGTTTACATTGTATATTTATATTATATTTTAGCACACCAACCAACATCCAAAGTCAGGATGGAAATTCCAGAATAGCATTATGTAACCTCAAAAAACTGGAAAAAAAGACTCATATATAGAATAGATTTTTTTAAAGTGAATTAGTGGAATGCGCTACTGATCATTTTTAAGTAAATAACGCTAGAGAAGTTTTTTGAATTATTATTATTATTATTATCATTAGCATTAGCATAAACATTATTATTATGGCAGTTTTACACGTCTGGATGCCCAGTAAAAAACCCAGAAGTTGAGCGTCTGACTCTAATCAACCACCGCGCCGTGAAGTCTTTCTAAAGTGAAAAATATTGAAGTATTAAGAATATTATAGCCGACTCTTGTAAAATATTAAAACGTTAGCAATATATTTATAAAAAAAAACATAAAAATGTTTCCGTGTCTCCTAAACTTTTGTCCACCGTTCTACTTCACTTAAAATCTATCGCAAAATCTTACTAAAAGTTTGAATAAAAATTTCAATATACAATAATAATTTTTTTTCAAAAAAAAATACACTTTAGCAATAATTCTCTTTGTTTAAGCAAGAATTTTCAAACTACAAGCAATGTTTAGTTTAATCAATTTGACAGATCCCTGCATTCTTTGTAAGATAGTGGCACTCTTCTCTCCAACAAGTTCCTCCACTGCCTAACTCACACCAGCCTAATATCCTCCCAGAACATCAATAACGATGTTATATTGTTTCACTTGGTAGCCAGGATTTTTCGCTCTCAATTTCTACATTATTGGATCATATTTCTGAGTCTTCTCCATCTCTTTCACTTCGCGGCTATCCAACCAAGGACAACTCGTTTCTGCTCTTTGTCAACTATTCTGTCGTCGATTCTTTTGGCCCTACCCACACCCCGCCAATACGTACCGCACACTTTCGGTCGATTTACCACACATTCGGCACATAACATTTGCAGTCACACTCTCTTTTCCAGTTTTCCTTTGGTGGTATAATTTGATTGGTAACATCTGTTGGTACAATTCCTGCATAGCTGCTACGGTATGGGTTGGCACCGGTCTCCAGCTATTCATCCATGCTAAACACCCTCCACTGTCAAGGGCCGAGTCCTCCCATCTATTTTTAGTCCGTTGTCCTTGCCATTTCTCTTCTCCCAGTGTGACTCAATAAGTTTTCTGTATTATTATTATTTTTATTATTATTATTAACCTCCCTCTGCCTAATCGCCCTAGTTACTGTGCTTGTGGAGAAATGTTTACTGTCAATCACGCGTTGTCATGTAAGAAAGGAGGTTTTGTAGCTCAGAGACATGATACAATCCGAGATCTTCTGACATCACACATCAGTAAAGTGGGCAGAATTGTGGAGACAGAGCCACTCCTGCAAGCACTCGACAATGAAGTATTCAACCTTCAGTCCACCGTTACAAGTCGAGAAGCGAGGCTGGATATGAAGAAGGCGGGAGGTTTTTGGACACCAGCAGTAACGGTATTCTTTGACGTACGTGTAACGCATGTTAACTCCCGGTCCAAGAGCAAGAAAACGAGAAGAAGAGGAAATACAACCAGAGAGTGATGGATGTAGAAAGGGGAACTTTTACACCACTGGTTTTTGGTACAAACGAGGGCATGGGACTCGACCGTCAGAACTTTTTAAGAACTCTCGCAAATAAGCTTTCGACTATGAAAGAACGATGAACCCTACGCCAGCGTTATTTCCTGGCTTCGAATACAGCTCTCATTTGCTATATTAAGGACTGTACACAGATGCGTCAGAGCTTCTAGATATCCATTCAAATCACGTGAGGTCTCAGAAGACTTCACTTTCGCTGTAGCTGGTCTACATCTACACTCATAATTTTAGGCCTAGATTTTTGATAGTTCTTTTTCTTAGTAATGCTTAGTTTTCCTTTTCCCACTTTTAAATTATTCACAATTGTAAATAGTTTTCTATCGTGGACATATATTAAGTTTTTAATTTGTAAACAATACGATATAGTTTGATATTGTAATTGTTACTTATTGTTCTGATACTTAAATAAAGATTGGTTATTATTATTATTATTATTATTTTTATTATTATATTAAGACGGAAGACACAAGGGGTGTCTTGGTACCTTAAGTATTTGTTGCATCTTTTTAGAAGAGTGGCTGCTTTCGTTGAGCTTATCCTTTTTTCTTCTTCCGTTTCACTACAGATTTGATACTTTGATCCCCCTAATATCCTTGTTGCAGATTGACTCTTTCGCTGTATTTTGACATCCAAGAACTGCCGACTCTCCATCAAAATCCTTCCCAAGAAGAACACCAAAATTGCCCACTCTAGACTGCTGAACGGGATGCTTGATGTCTCAAGACAAAGAGCAATGTGTAAACCAAGCAGTGTAAGGTAGCTAAGCGTGTCACGAATGAACACGAAGTATGGAGTTGTAAAGTATTCCCGGTAACTTTCTGCGAAGACAGAAATTAAAGAAGGGCCATCATTTTTTCTATTGTGTTAGATTCACTCAATACATGTCACTGGAGCAAGCCTTCTGTTTGATAAAAGCTGCCATTCTAAGCTCGCAAATCACCATAACACTGTGGTAAATGGCTGCTACACAGAAGGTGGTCGCTTCATATAGGGGGAATCTTAATAACCTGGTTTAACTTAAGCAATCATCTGGGTATAATGCAAAACAAACACCGAAAGGATTTACAGTTTATATTACAAACATGTCTTCTGCTTTCAAGCCTTTTTTTCTAGATCTTCTCGATGGCCCGAGTCGTTTTAGAACTGATATTTCCTGGCCATCCCAACTTGGGAATCCACTCATCGCTCGATAATTATTGTATCAACTGAAATGAAGGGTTGCCGCAATAATATATTGTCTGTTATATGATTTTTAAAAGCTGACTTGGATCAAATGAATCAAACATCCTGATTCATTGATAATCGAAATTTCATGAATCGCACTTACCAACTAAATCTTTTCCCTGGAGCGCTGAGGAAAAAAAATAAAAAACGCACATTAATTCACGGCTCATTCACTCCATGACTTCAATATTTTGCTTAAATCGTCCTATACTTTCTTCAGCGCACCTAGCAATCTTGGTTTAATGCAAAAACCAGCATCTACGATACACATACCGTTAAAAATGCTGTTGCCAACGGTTTTCGGATTTGCGTATTCTCCAAAGTGCATGATCTTGTGCCCGTCTCTGTTAATCCCCTCTAATTCCCGGATGTCGATGTGCGGGCCCATTCCCACTGGCAGAATATTGACTCCCATTTCTTTGACTTTCTTAACTTCTTCCTCGACGTCTTTCTTGTCTTGCCTTAAACAAATCTTTTGGTCTGTCAACAATACTAGAGCCTGCATAAACAACATGCATAGTTTGACATTAATTAGCTTTAAATGAAATGGCAAATTGGAGGGTCTTTAGCAGTCATGTCTGACTTAGACTGAAGAAGGCTCTTTAAAGAGTTTGGAAAAGGGGTCTTGATAACGCATTCCAGCTCCTTTTTCACGAGATTCCCGCATCCCGAACTTCTGTCATCATCGCTACCCTGAATATCGCTTTCTTTCTCAATCCCGCATCTGTGACCATCCCGCTTCCAGGGTAGCAGTCAAACACCGTACCCCGTAAAAAATTTCCCGAGTCCCCCATTGTCAGTATATTGGTCTACCTGACGAAAATTGAATTCCGGATCCCAGGAAAACCCTTCCAGACCTCGTTTGAACAGGACAACTGACTAAACAAAAGAAAAATGGTATTAGTACATTTTGTTTTGCTAATTGGTACGTACCTTTTCTGAGTTTGGCCTTTTACCCTTGCTAAGTGTGAAAGCTTCCCCTACTTTCTTTAGATTTTCGTGAAGAGCGGGGATGTTGACTTCGGCGTTCCTTGTTAGCTGATCCACTTTGTCAAACAATGATGTGAAGTCGCAAGGCTCGTTAGTAAAACAAATTTCCCTCGAAGATGAATCTTCTCCATGAACTAAAATATGGTACTTTACTTGACTGTTCTTGAACTTACACATTAAGTATATTATGATGCGTTTCATCAATTTGAAGGCTTCATCTGCGACATCAGAAGTTGCGGTTATAACAAAGGCAAGGTCTATCTCTGTAAAAAGAAAACAATAAATTTAATGACCATAATCACTCAAGTCTAATAAGCATTGGTTACAACAGCTTGTGCTGAAAGCCTGACGCTCCTTGAATTGGAAAAGGTAACAAGGTAGCATTGCTTTCAATCGTGAAATAATTGGGATGGGATAAACCATGCTAAGCCTCGTTATTGCGAATCGGCCACTCGAATCCCAGCCATCAATAGCTCAGTTGCCGCCTGGTTATCCAAGCTGGACGGGAGCAGGTCTGCTGAGCGGTAATTCGTGAATCGAAGCACACTGAACCACCAACCAGGGTCTTTTACAAACTGGTAAGAGCTAAGAGCGTGCTGGCTGGGATTTTAGACCTTGTCTCAGTTCACGTGAACTCGTGGTTGAACAGTTAAACCGTTAGCCTTGTCTCATTCATTGTTCCTTATCAATTAGAGGGGGACGTCAAACAACCCGCCCAACTGTTCGAAAAGCGTAAGGGACATATGACCCCGACGGTATGATCTATCTTATTTTATTAAAAACTGAATCATTGGATAATGCAATTCTAGCATTTTGATTGGCTTAGCCCTTATGGTATATGTGCTATTATACCATGCTCTCCATATACGGTCGGTGTACGCGTCAGTTTAAAATTGGAAGCTAGCTGAGATTTTTTCGCGAAGGATAGAACGGCGCCCGAAGCAAATTGTTTTAATTCATTTCTTAGAATGCTAGAAATGCAATTTCATCGAAAGAAAAAAGACAAAAACAAACAAAAAAGCCACAAGAGCTTGTTTGAAAGTTTGTCGAAAAACACATGAAAACACATGGAACTAAAGTACCTTGACCAGCTACGAAAGAAGACAAGTGTTGTTTCTTCATGATCGCGAAACCATTCGCCGATCGAGTCACTCGCCGATAGATAACTGCGGCTTGTGTATCCGACATCAAGAATATAAATCACAAGTAACCAGCTACAAATACAGGCTATGCAGCCATTCACTAGAGCAATCGAGGCGGCAGTATAGCTTCTTTTCTCGTTCAGCAAAACCAGCTTGTGGCTTCAAACAACTTCATAACAAGTGACCGAGGTAATGGTTTTTCTCCGTTGTTCTTACTTTCATAACCAAATTCACAGTAATTTCGACGGCTGTCTCTTAAAAATTCTTTTCCTTCACATTATCTGCCAGGTTATTTTAGCTGTTCTGCTGTGTAAAATCCTAGAATCCCGATGGGTTTTTAAAAAACTAATGTTCATCGCTACAATGTTTTGATTTTTCATTCATGCAGTCCAGGCGAGTCCGTTCGCGCGTTGACAGTTTTGATAGACGTGTGACATGTGAATAGCGGAAGTCCCTTGTCTTTTCCGGTTTGTTCTTGTAGGGGAGATTCAACGAGATTTTGTGGGCGTTTTTAATAAAACAATTATTCCACTCGCGCTTATTCGATATGAGATGATTATAGCCAACTCGGCGCTATGCGCCTCGTTGGCTATCTATCATCTCATATCCAACGCGCCCTCGTGGAATAATTGTTAAATAGTCCGGTTGTTCAGGTACGGAGACGATTCTGGCCCACAGTAACAATAATATAAGCACACGCTGTTGTGATGTCCCTGTCATATTTTAAGAAGCTAAAGATAAGATAATTAAAAAAGCACAGTTTATTCTTCCAAAAGTAGCTTTCTGAACGCTTTTTCCATTGCATTCCAAAGTGCGTCGGCAGGTTCACTGTTGTTATTTCACTCGCTCTCTTTGTTTTTTTGAAACCATAGCTGTACTAATAGTATTTCAAATCGATTCAAATATCTATGGCATGGTAGCGTTGATAGAAACCAGAAAGAAGAGTATTATTCGATTTAAAGTTTATCTTAGCGCCTGACAGAATCAAGAATAACGGGAAAATGTAACATTTCTGTCAGCAACAGACCTCAAAACAACCTGAAGAAGGCGGTGGGACAAAGTGAACTATTGTTCACAAAGGCTTGCAAAAAGGTCTGTATGAGCTAGAATAATGTGTAACTCAAAGAAGTTCTTTTACGCACAGGAATATGATTGCACCGGAATGTTGTAGAATCTGATAAACTAAAAAGAAAAAAAGAAAAAAATAGTAGAAAGCAAGGCGGGATTACCCTTACAAATAGCAAGTCAGAAGATGTTACCTTTGCTTCTACGCGTAACCTTGTTGATTCGATGCTTGATGTAAAACAAAGTGAACAAGAATGGAAACAAAACGATGTCAAATAAACACCAAATGTTGAGAAAAAGCCATTTCCACCGTCCAACCTCCAGCCAGGAAGATCTCTTCATTTTACCGAATCGTCCAAACCACTTCTTCCGCATCAAATTGTACATTACTGGGTGAGCAAAAAACTGCCAATGAAAAAAAGCAAACAATAAATTTCTCTTAATTTCCAAAAGCAAGATTATTGTTCATCGTTTAAATTTTAACAATAAGGTCCTGCATCATAACATTGTATCTCTACTCCATATAAATCTTAGCAGCAGTTCCACTGTAAGCATTCTTCAATCCATGACACTGAATCACCTATACTTCTGAATTTAAAAATTTCATTACGCACTTTCTTTTGCTCCAATTCAATGCCAGCATCTAAGAGGTAATCCAAAGAGTTCCCAAAGGCATGCCGATCCTCCGTGTTGGATTTCAAAGGGTCTAGTAAACAACTTGTAAACTCGTCCACCGAATTCGCCAATTTAGTGAAGTCTTCTTCATCAGGTCCTTTCTTCTCTGCCAAGCGGCGGAGCTCAAAGTTCACCTGTGGAAGTTAGTTTTGAATTTTCACTGCAAGTTCGTTTTTGCCAGGAAGACAACCTTTCACTGATTCAGCAGAAGGGTTGGAACGGTCCGGACAGCAGAAATTTATCCGGCAAACTTAGTACATTGATTCAAAGTATTTAACAAACTGCTTTCAAACTGATCAGAAGAATAGCATGGAGCTTTGATTTCTTACCTTAACAATAAAGCTAAAGAAATTGAGGGGTGCTATAACTTCTATATAATCAAGCTTGATTATTGTCATAATGAAAATGATCCTGCTGTACTTGTAAGTGGATAACTCTACAATAAATCTCTTGGGTGAATTTGTGAATTCTCGTGTTTCCCACAAGGCAGAGCGCAGCTAAATCAGGCCAAATACTTAGGTCACATCTATTCTCAGAAAAGTGATGCAGCTAAACAAGACAATATCTTTCTGGAAACTAAAAAAATACGATATTTTCCGCTTGCCGAGGGAGGCCTAGTTAAGTAATTCATAACTAGCACTGGATTGGGATACGACTTTCTATACAAAAACTACAATAAGGACAAGGGATAGTTGCCTTCGAACAAGAGACACTGAACAAGTACAACGACAGTGCCAAGCGACAAAATTAGAAGTCTTTAATGAAATACATGCCCACATTTGCATTCAGCAAACATTTCGTTTTTTTCGACTCACCTCCATTGCCATTAGTAACGCGTTGGTGTCACATTTTGTGAGAGCCCGCGGTGTCAGTTTGTCCGTGATATTATCAACATCACCTTCCTTTAAGTCCTCTCTCAGTGATCTTTCAAAAGCTTAAACACAGTGTATGAGAGAATTAGTCTGAGATAAGTATGAAAAAACCTAACGTTTCTAGTCCCTCTCAAAGTGGAGCAATACCCAAATCGTTCTCCAGACAAGATGGTGTTATACTGTTTTATACAAATGTATTGAGGCAAGGACAAGTATAAGATTTTAGCTGAGCACTGAGTAACGCTATTGTAGAATTGCGGACACATCACAATTTATGTCTTGTAAATAGACTTTGAACGGAAAAATCTTACATCAAGTTAATAGTCAAATAAAAAAAAGGTGGACAACAACAACTTACAATAACCTTTAGTTGCATGGCTATAACTGATTATTTACAGTACTGCAAGAGGTACGTACATTAAGAACGAAAGGAAAAGAAATAATAATAAGTATGATAATAATATAACAGATAATCAAGTGACATTATTCTTACATGACAGTACACTGTCGCGCAAATAATTCAGTAATGAGATATAATTCGTCAGCCGTAAATTAAGATAGATATCTTCGGATTTCATCAGTTTAATCACCAGGTCCGAGTAAGATAGCTGCTGAAAATTATGGAGATGACTTTGTATTTGAGCGAAAAAAAATCATTTCTAAGATTAAAATATTTTGGGCAATAGCAGAGAAACTGAATTTCATGTTCAATTTCGTTGGAATCATAAACTGGGAGTAATCTTTTGTCGTGAGGACTCATACCTTCCAGTCTTGATCATAACTTTATGATTACTTACGCGTAATTTTACCATAGCCTTTCTATTCTATCGATTGTCTTTCTAGTTAAGTTTAATATAAAGAACTTGAAATTTCATAAACATATTATAAGACTCTAATTTCCTTGTATAATTAACTAAATCTTTATATCTTGATATTTTGTTTTTTTCTAATTTGTTGGGAACAAAATGTTAATCCAGTAGGTTATAAGGTTTGGATAATTCCTAGCCTGCGATCATGCCCTCTCCCTTTATCTCTGTAATCTGTTTTCGGGAGGAGGGCATGATACATTTCTTTCACAGATCACATGCAAAAAAGCCAGAATCTGGACTTTTTCTGATTGGATAGGAAACAATATGGATGATTTGCGCTGTTCCCATTGGCCAAAACGCCGCCATCTGTTAGTTGTTGTTGATTTCAGTCTGCATTTTGCTTGCGTAATGAGCAGTGAATACACACGCGAGTTCGTTATGAAATTTCATCCGTTGAAATATTTTCCATTTCATCGTATACTAAAAATTGCAGTCAAAAATTCACCGATCATTTGAATGAAATTTGATACCGGCTACAAGTTACAGAAGCGACAAACGGGTTCACTTTTGTGTACTCGTGTACAATATCAATGGTCTGTTTCCCTGTGTGGAATTCTAGGTCGGAGTTTTTCTTTGCGCGTTTTTCAAAGATCGTATTTTTGGTCCTTTTAGAACTGATAGCTATCCAAGAACTGCTAAAAGAATACAACGCGCTTAGGCAATTTTGCAAACCTACTTTAGATCGGGATAAAATGATCAGGTCACCAGCGTATAAAAAATTAAGAATTTAATTTGTTGGTAGCATTTGGGATCTGATAAAGTATTTTAAAATACATATAGGTTGCATCTTAAGCCTTTTACTTTTCAGTTTATACATTTTAATGTATGGGATCTGCATCCGATTAAGTTACACAATCATTGATTTAAGAATACCACAGAGAGGTTCATGATTGGTTCGCTTAACCACTAGGTTTATCTCCGGACATGTTACGGAAATTTCTGATAGATAAACAACTTAACGACATCATGCAAAAATAACAGCGAGCAATTACTTAACATACAGCAACTCTTAAGCAATGCAAAATTTACCGACATAGGCTTGGAAAAGGTATCTTTGCCCACAATAAATCAAGACACATCCCCTCCCCATCAAAAACTAATAATCATCTTTAAACTTCACAATTTCACGATGAACTTTATATTACTTCCTAGGCAATAGACCCGCTCACGATTCATTTCAACTTTGACATGGACAAATAAGGGGAAAATCGGTCGACACCACTGGAAAGAGCGCCTTAAGATTAGTAAAATTGCCAAGTTCAAAAGTGATTTGTTAAAAACTAAAGAGGATATAGCTGCTCAAAGACGCTGAGTTTTTATAATGGGGGGCACAACTTGCCCCTTCCATACAAACGTCAACAGATTTTCGCTGGCTGGTTCACGTCAAAAGTTGCAAAAAAAAAACGTACAAGAGTCTATTATATACTGATGTTGCATCGCGTAGGTTTCTCTCTGTTCTATCATTCGTTTGAAATTAAGCATGCAGCAAGTTCCCGAGGCAAATCCTGCATGACACTAGATTGTAAACCAAAGGGCTCCTTTTGAAATTCAGACTGAAATTTTCTTATAATTTTGACCTAATAATGAGTCACATGAGCAAGACATTTCGACCCCCTTGTGTCTATAACATAGACCTTTACCCGACCTCCTTGTACCATTCGCTTTCCGAACCTAATCGAAATCAATCAATCGATTGAAGTTCGATTGGGTTCAATTACTGATTAACTTGCGATTGGTTAAGCCTCATTAAAACGAGCAAATTAAATATGCTAGGGAATAGATCGATGAATTGAAAGGTATTATAAAACAGACTTTTGCTCCATGGGTGGGCAACAAAGCACAAACGATCGTGGCGTCAGCACTGGAAACTACGAAAACTTGGCTGCTTCCTTTCCATACAACGAGAAACAGCTTCAATAATTTTAAGATAACAATTTTACATCCACTGAAGGTCGACCTCGATCGTTTCTCTCGAAATTGTACTTTCAGTCTGTCTGTAAAAGTGGCTAAAATTTCGGTCCCTTGACCACAGTTTATCAGTTTGTTTTTAGATCGAAGATCGGGGATCGGAAAAAAATGTGTAAATTACAAAATTACAAATAAAATAATAAATAAAAATAAAATAATACATTACAAATTACAAATAAAATAACCGAAGAATTGAAGAAATAAATAAATAAGAAATTTACGTTTATACTTCCATGTTAATTTTCACGGGTTATTCCAATCACATGCGACCAATTTCTAGATTATGGACAAGGTTCAAAAGCGGTGGGTGGGATCCGTTTTGCCTGGTTTACAGTGTTTTGAAAATCGTGAAATTCTCCCTTCTTGGGGCATGTTATCAAGAAAATATTCAAATGTTGTGTCAGGTCGCCAAGATACACATTTGGGAACAAGCGCCCAATATAGACTTCGTCTCGGGAATTATTCAACAATATTAACTTCGCCTTCGGCGAATACTTGCTAAATGTACTGTATAATGTAACACACTAGTCAGTTGCATCCCCGACCCCCAAACCCCCATGGATAGTGGGGAATTCACGCAGCAATAGTGGACAAATATATATTTCTTGCACTAGCCCCTGGGAAATTACCAAAAATCTACAGCTAGACACATCTATCCCCGGGGTGGGGAGTCAGTTGACCATGATCGATGACGTCAAGCCTTCATGAAGGCTGCGATCCAGCTAAGTATTGACGCAAACTAGCAGCATTTGAAAGGAATTTCAGCCACTCCCTCGTGATCAGCTTTCAATTTGGATAGGCAAAATTTGTTTTATTCGAAAATATTCTGAATTTTAGCATAATTATGGATAAAATGGGCGAAAAGACGTGGATCACGGAGATCCGCCCTGCTGTAACTGACCGGTACTGAGCTCCTCAATAGTTCGCGCTATGATCCTTTGTCGACTGCTGCCCAGCCTTCTCTGGGATATGCTTTTTATGATATGGCTGTTTGGTTTTTGTATGGAGGATAGATACGATAAATGACTCTGTCAATTCAAATATTTGATCCGTTAAAGAGAGTCATTTATTAAAATAGAAAAGCAGTTCGTTTAGAGACAGCTTATTAGGCAGGAGCGATTACCATCTGAAACTGTCCCTAGGGCCTGGGGTAAATCCTTTGAATTACGAGGTTACCTTTGTAAATTTCCCCACTATTCTCCGCGGGTTTGGGGGCCGTGGTTGCAATTGACTAGTGCATAATACTCAAAACGTAAAAATTGCAAGGGGTGACTGTCCGCACATCCTCACACCGCCGTGAAACCTTTGAAAACCTTTTACATATTGCTGCAGTGAGGAGAACTCTTTCAGGTATTTTACACTTAAAGAAATTTAGTTTTAAAAAAGTTTAGAAGAACCTTATACAACAGACAATTTATTAAGTTCGCGCGTATTCCTGTTGAATTTGTTGTCCGTTTTATTAGATATGCGCTCAAAATCGAGTGAAAGTGATTATGATAATTTTCCATAGCTGCTGTTATCTTAGGAATCTGCTTTAATTAATATCTCTGTACAGCTGATGTTTACGCGATCTCAGAGTACAACGTTTAGAGCTGTAGACAGCATGTATTCTTTTGAAAATATATCCAAATCTGACACTGGTTTTGGGTACCTTATTATAGGAAATTAACGCCAATGCATTAAAATTCGCGTTAATTTTGTTGAGCGTTAATTTCCGCGACGTTAATTAAGTGCAGCGTTAATTTCCGCGCTCTTAGGCCCGGTTCAGACGCCGTACTTTTCATGAGCCGAACCTAATACATTGAATTAAGTACATGAAAAGTTCGGCGTCTGAATCAATTAGGAACGCCTGTTTCAATTTGGAACGGCTCAGCCGTTCTTTTCGCCTATCCCGGCCGGGAATTTCGCCTTTGGATCGACTTTGGAACGCCTTTGATTCAGACGCCGAACTTTTCATGTACCGAACCAAATGCAGAAATTCTTACAACGTATTTTGTAAGCAGTTTGACCGAAATGCGCATTTTTCGCCTTCTGAATTTAGTTCGGCTGGAATTAAGATCGGCGTCTGAATCACTTTAGCCGGTCTTAATAATTTGGGCCGGCCTTAATTCGAATTAGGTTCGGCCATAGTTAATTGAGTGGAATGGTTATGAAACCCGTCAGACTCCTTTGTTATATGTTTTTGTGGACCTGAAAGTGCACAACGTTCAAAAGAATTCCTATCAT